TGAATGGTGAGATGTAGAGAGGGTGATATTTGTTCAGACAGCTTTATGCTAAACGTTCTGACACAACTCTTTCAACATCTAAACTTAGCACACACAGTAAGGACATTTGTGTTTGGTATCATTTCTTTGTTATAACAACACTTCTTGGCATTAAGTCTTATACCTGGCACCTGACTGGCAGCAACTGGGGGTACAGAAACCCAAAAGAAGTGTCAGTATAGAAACAGCAAACTAAGCTGTTTGACAAAGACAATTTGGCAAATTTTTCACGTGCTCAGCTCCACTGCTCATCCCACAAATGCATGTTCCTTACAAATGTGGCACCAWTTCAAAGGTATAAGATTTATTACCAAGAAGCATTGTTACAACAACAAAAAATCTAACTTCCTTACTTTACATGCTAAATATAGTTCTTTATTCATTCAAAAATAAGAGCTTAATGATAAATGTTGTATAAGTTTAAGATGTTTCACCTTGCTTCCGTCATTTAATCTCTTCTTATCAACAACTTTGTTGCATGTCTTTAACTGCGGTTTATCTCTGTGAAGCATCAGACTCACAATAATGATGCATTTTTACACAAACACTTTAGTTTCTGACTTTGTTGGAGCACAAACCCTTTTGCATTTAGCRAAGTGTCGCAGCACGACCCGGATGTTGTTCTCTCTTAACGGTCCTTAAGCTGTTTGGGCTTTCAGTGCAGCACGAGTGTGACACACTGAGGTCTTTATGTCGTGGAGAGAAGAACTGTTTTTTTTAAACTGTATCTCTGTCCGTTTGTGTACGGGCGACATTCAGGCCTGCAGAGAAGCATCTGCTGCGTCTGACTGAACCCAGGGAAATAACTGGGTCTCAGCGATTTGCTGCTGCATCCTACATGCATGGCTTTCTGCRCAGCCCGGCCTCTGTGCAGCACAGWGCACAAGTATGGAGGCAACGAGTTTACTGTAATCCTTTTGCTACTTTCTGTGTGGAAAAATGTCACGTCTGGAGGAAGATCCAGTTTCAGCATCCCTCTAAAAGGCTGGTTTATTGCGTTACGTTTGTTATAAATAGAACCCATTTAAAAGTATTTATTCAATAATCTGTTCACTTTGTGGTCTATTAGTTTAACAAGGTAAATTTTGTTTCCAGTCATTTGGTTGTCAGTGTGTTTGACTTTTGATTGGATGGTAACTGAGGCCATCAACGTAAGTGCCRCTCAAATAAACAATTTAATTATTCAATTAAAGTTTTAAGCTTTTAAAAATGAGGTGTGAATTAGCTTAGGTGCTGAAAAGGCTGTTGACTTAATTTATTTGAAAAATTGTACATTTTATCACAGAGAACTTGAGAACCATGTGTGAAAAGATCTGAAATATCCCTTTAAGGAACAGTTTGCAATTCTTTTGGTGCTCTTTGAGGATTGACAGTCTGTGACAGTAAACTTCAAAAGTTTAAAGCTTAAATATGTTTTATTTTAGCTGTTTTGGTCTATCGGCTCCAGAGAGAAAAATCTTCAAGTTGTAAATACTCTCCTATGTTCACCTCCTATTTATCAGCTTTGATGTTTGGCGAGCAGACGGGTAGATTCACAAGTTTTTATGTTAAAGCCTGCTGTAGGCTGTGGCCACTCGCGCTGAGACTAATGAGAGGAAAACAAACCTCATAAAGTTTTGGCATTAAACAAATAAACGGTGATGCCGCAAAGCTCCCTCGAGCGAAAACGAACTGCAGTGTGGATTCAGCGTTAATGTAAGAATATCGATCAGAGCAGCTTTAAAATTAGAGCAACTGCTTCACGTTCATCTCGGCCTCCGAGAAAATGTAAGATTATCCTTCTTCTGGCTCAGACAGCACGTCTGACTTTACAACAGGGAGTGGGAAGTTTCTGCAGTGTCCGTCTTCCTGTTTCCACCTCTTCAATCCAACCAGACCAGTGGAGACATGAAGGCAAAACGTGGCTTCAAGGTTTTATTTCTAAAATTTGTCTTAAAGTGTTTTTAATTGTGTTTGTTTGTTTGCATGTTATCGAAATGTCTCGTGAATTACTCTACGAACTTTAACGAAACTTGCATAAAGTTGTTATTAAATGTACAACCTGATCCAATATGGCCGCCTCAGCAAACTGACCTTCCAAAAACACGAAAAATGTATTGAACTTATTCAGATTTACAGATATTGACTATGGTGTGGTAGTAGCTGAGACTGATCCCCAACACATAGTCTGAGCTCTAACAGCTCGTAAAACAGGGCTATCCAACTGATGGCCCGCGGGCCACATCCTGCCCGCTTGTGACCAAAGTTCGGCCCGCAAATTGGTTCATTCTTGTCTGAAGCTCAAAGCCCCCGTCTTCTACTTTAATTACTCTAAGTTCCTTTAGTTAAACATAGACATGTTTGGTATCTAGAAATGTCAGAATCTTGATTAGAAGCTGGTAAAAACATTTCTATGAACTCTAAAGACAGTTAAAATTATAAGCAGTTGAAAATAAAACTATGAAAGTGAAAATAAAATTGGTTTAAAATTTTAGCAAGTCAGAGACGTCAAAATATTATTTGTGGTTAATAAGAGACATAATGTGTTCTTTTGTTTTTGTTTTATTGTCACAACGTTTATTACATAGGGTTCTGTATGTTGTATTCATGATTAAATGCAGCAAAATAAACTATTTCAAAGGTAACAGATTTTTGTAATACTTGGTTTAATTACATAATGACTTGCTGGATGTTCGGCCCCTGAGCTGTTGGCCTGCAGTAACTGTGGCTCCCGGAGAAATTTAGTTGAATAGCTCTGTTGGAGAAGATATCAGCTTTGTTTGTCCATCCATCCATCCATCCATCCATTTTCTTCCGCCTATCCGGGGTCGGGTCGCGGGGGCAGCAGCTTCAGAAGGGAGGCCCA